AGGCTTATTTCCATAGGGTGCCTTGTCTTACTCTCATGTATAGTGAACCCCAAAAAGTTAGAACATAGATTTGGGATGATTTGTGCCGGGATTCCCCTTACTTTAGATTAAGGCTGTTCCAACTTTCTGGCTTCTACCGTACACTTGCAAGCCACTGCCACAGGCCGAGGCTCAAAAACAGGCAGAGTTGGGGTCGGAGGGCCAAAGAAATCCTGAAGTATGCTCAAAATCAGATGCATAATAAGGAGCATGGAAGACCGAAACTCCAAAGCTCCATGCAAACCAATTCAACCAAAAACAACATCAGGCTATGATTGTTGTTGTGTCCCACCAGCTTAGAAACAACACCATGCTATGATTTGGTTGTGTCACCCCAGCTTAGTTCGGACTCACAGCTGTCGGTGGCAGATTCCACAGCAAGGCTCCTAGTATTCAATATTCTATTCCAACCTCTCACGGTTCCTTAGGGCTCAGGAGACGGCTGGCTGCGCCGGTTCCATGGTGACCCTAAACCCTGAACCCTAAAACCTGGTCTTGAAACTGTCTTATCCTTAGTACGCGCCCGCGAGGCGAAGGGCACAGGGGCTTAAGACTGTTGCTGCTGCCCCACTAAAAATCCAGATCCTCGGGGTCAGAACATTATACAGTAGAAGCCAGAAAGTTGGAACATCATTATCCTCATGCCCTTAGAGTAAAGTATAAGGGATCCTGGCACTAATCCTCCTAAATCCATGTTCCAACTTTCTGGCTTCTACTATAGTGAGCCCCAGAAAGTTGGAACAGGGATTTAGGATGATTAGTGCCGGGGTTCCTCATACTTTACCTCAGGGATAGCGATGCTCCAACTTTCTGGCTTCTACTGTACCCTAAACCCTAAACCCTAAACCCTGTACACTATACTGTTGCTTGTAAACAAGGAACCCTGAGGACTTATGTTATTTCAGATCCTCGTCCACAAGCTTGTCCGAGACGTCCCATTGCTTTCGGATATTCTCGTCGTCCTCACGCGACAGGGAACTTTCGACTGTAAACGTGGACGAATCCACACCCTAATCCTAAACCCTGCAAACTCAGGCAGCAGTTTGGACTGGTGGCGATTTGTTGCAGTGCTTTGAAAACCTGATCATGATTTCAGTAGCACCGCCACTGCCGCAAAGCTGGCATCATGCTCGTCGACACAGGCAGGAGGATGGCAAGATGGCTAAAGACAGAAGCCCCAAAGTCGTTAACCTAACACACGAAACCGAAGTCCTCCTTCCATGAACCCCTTAACATAATTTGAAGCCTTTGGGATTCACAGCCCTTAACTGCATCCCACCCTCCCTAAACCCCAAACCCTGACCCTAAACATCCCTAAACCTAATCCTATAAACCTTAAACCTTATAATACACCTTAAACCCGAAACCCTTTGCGAGCCCCGTGGATATTACCCCCATCTATCATGGTTGAAGGAAGTGCACTTCTTTTCTCGGCGCTGTGCCGTCTGGCTCCGGGGCAACGAAAACGAAGAAAATCGTAAAGTTTAGGGTTTAGGGTCTGTAGGATTGGCGCTAGGGTTGGTAGTATGGCTCAGGAAAGGCTCGGAGTTTAAGACTTGCTGGGTCCGGGTTTCGGGCTGAGTGAATGTATGCCCAGGGCCTACAGGCCCGGTATTCCGGGAACCGTATTGAAAAAAAGTTGCAAAGCATGAACTGTCTGCTCGAATCGCCGACATGATACCCCCGAAACCCTGCACCACTCGAGCTTCATGTCAAATCACGATGGCCGGTGAAACCTTCATCTCTTGAGCTCTGGCTCCGCTTCTCCGGACCGACAAATCCTGAGCACGTCGGACGCGGTGGCCACATGTCATGTCAACCCGTGCCTGATATTCCCGAAACTCGGGTCCCTCCTCAAATCCGCAAATTTGCTTAAGGACTACGTTGCTGCCCCTACTGCTGTGAGTATCGCAGATGCGGGTCTGGCCATTGCTACTGGCAGTGCTGGGGGTGGCGGCGGCCGCGGCGGTAGTGCTGCCGTCATCGTCTGTGTCGTTGTGGTGTGGCAGGTGTTGGGGCAATGCATTTAGCGATGGAGCGGTGGCGGCACCAGCAGTCCTCGTGACAGTTGTGCACCACCCTTACCCCTAAACCCGAAAGCCTTAACCGTCTATACTGTTTTATTCCAGAAAGAGCAGCAAACAGCCGCAGAGGTTGCCAAGCTTCAAGCTCAGCGTGAGCTGCACCGCCACAGCTCGTCCGGGTCGAAGGTCCTGCTCGTGGATCTTGTGGAACCCTGCTGGGTTGGGGGGCCTAACAGCAGACTTTAACTTCGACCGGTTTACTATGGGCTTCTACGCTGAACAGGGCAGTCCGCACATTCAACCCCTTAAGCTCCGAGCATGTGAACCTTGAGCCCTAAACGAAGAACCCTGTAACGAGTCATAGCCTCCTTGGCAGGCAGGGTATGCGGCCACAGGCACCCCGCTACAGTCTTCCTTGCAGCTTACACAGCATTTAGAATAGTGCACTATAAATCATGATTTATACCTCTTTGCGGATGAATTTGAGCAATAAGGGTTCGCCGTTCGTAGAAGTGTACCCAGACCATATAAGGGATGATGACTTTTTTTGATTGTTTAGATCTCTGTGGTGTGCGCACGAATGCTAGTCCGTCAAGAGGCCTAATGTTTCAATGTGCTACCGAGATGCCATCCACCAGGATCCCCCAATGGCCCCTTAATACAGCCCTCATGGTCCTTAATAGTATTTGGGGCATAGAAGAGGGTAGTTGGGGGGTCTAGACAGGGTTGAGGGTTTAGGGCGTCTTCTGGTTTAATTAGGGTCTCTGCAACAACCTACCGCCGGTGCCGTGCAGAGTCCAAAATAGTGCATACACAAAGGTTTCAGCTGAGGTCATTCCGAGACTCTTCAGGCCCCGCATCGCCAATCTGATGAACTCGAAACCACCCACATGCACCCCCCCCAAAAAAAAAATCCTAAACCCTCCTTATCCCTAAACCCTAAACCCTCATCATCATCAACACCCTAAACCCTCATAATCCCCAAACCCAGAACCCTCATAACCACCAAAACCCTGAACCCTCAGAATCCCTTAACGCTCACAACCCCTATAAGCCCTAAACCCTCATAATCCCTAAAGGCCCCAAGAAACAAAACCCAACAATCAAAGGGGAAATGGAGGGACCCTTAATGGAGACCCCTAGCCTATAATGGGCTATATACTGGGTATATACTAGCTATATTAAGGGTCTATACCTAGGGGTCCTTACTAAGGGTCCCTCTTTTTACCCTTGGAAACAAGGCCTTCGGATCTGATCTTGGCTCTTCGAGGCCACGGCGACGAAAGTGGGCGAGCTTCGATGGTCCCTTCGGCACCAAGAGGGTTTAGGGTTTAGGGCAAGCCTCGGGTGTTCTTCCGAAATGTAGGGCTTGGGGGACCCCCCACAGACTTCCTAAACCCTGAACCCCACAAAGCCCTAACGCCCTAAACCCAAAGAATACCCAAACCAAACCCCTGAAACCATTAGCATAAGTATACTTATTGATTGCGACATTGGCATAGTATTGACATGCACATTATAAACCCTAAACCCTGAACCCTTACCAAGAGAAACTAAAACCTGAACCCTAAACAACTTACCTTTGGTTAGTAAGGAATGGAAGAATGGTAGTAATAGTAGTTATAATTGTACCCCATTCCTCCATTCCCTACTATCCCAAGGTAAGACAAGCCCCAAATCGACCTGCTTCAGGATCCTTGGGTCGGCGATTTATGTACCGTACGGGTCCTTCGGTTGATAATATAAATCCTACATTACCTTAAGGACCCTAAACTATGCGATTTATGGTATCTTCCTTAGTATGGGTAATGCAGGATTTGTATCATCAACCGTTGTACCTCCTTGCAATCTCTATCTATCTATCTATCCACCCATCCGTCCATCTATATACCGATGTACTTACGCTTGTTTTGATTTGCTTGTATTCTCGGCCATCAACCAGCCTTATACAGGAACTTCTATGACAAAAGTTCAAACAAAAAGGTGCCCAGACCCTTCAACCAACCTCCGGGTAACAAGAAGACAGCAAGCGGCTCTGAACCCAAGTGCTTTCCTCACTTGAACGGCCCCTAAACCCTAAACCTTAATTTGGACTCTGCAGAGCAAGGGACAGAAAATAGGTTTTATGGAGAAAAAACCTAAGGGCCGTATAATTACATTCGGGAACCCCCATGGGATGCCAGTGCCTATTGTTCCGACGCCCCCCCCCCCCCCCCCCGAATATGACGAAGGCTTGCGAATATTTGGAAAATTTGCGGTTGATGTTGGGGCCCAAGACTTCAGGGATATTGGCTGCCAGATTTAATTAAACGGGTTGAGGGCTTTGGGAAGGTTTAGGTCTGATAAATGCGTATTATAGGTCGTGCGAAAGCTGTGCGATTCAGGCTTTAAGCCCTTCGTAGTAGATCAAGCAACCACCTGCGCATGAACGAGATTTTCTTGAACAAAAATTAGGGTCCATATCAGGGCACCTTGGCTTGAAACGTTTACGTTGATGCGGTGGGGGGTTCTTACTCTTGACTCGTCTCTGCGTATATAAACTCCGAAGCAACTCCCGCCAATATTGAGCCCTACATAACACTTACCAGCACCCTATTGTAAATCCTACTTCATGTGCATTTCCGCTCCTTAACTAACATCCGACTTTGTAGCCGAGTGCCTGCAGCAGGCTAGAGGCTTGACAACTTGAAGCTTCGAGTTTAAAGTCTGGTGTAGGCTGGGGTTTCCAAGATTGACATTCGGGACCCGAGGGTTTAGGGTTTGGGGACAAAACAGTGCGAGGTCGAACAATGCTCCTCCAAGCCGGTGTCGGGGTATTCATTGTGTTGGGGTGTTCAAGCCTTCACCTTACTGGACGGTCGAAACAGCTTTAGACCGCGAGTCCTAAGCCTGTAAGCGTAACAGCCACACCAACGGTTTCAACTAAGCCACCCTGTATCAAGGCCGCTTTTGCCCCAGCACGGCAAAGGCCCAAATGGTATTGACCAGTTCCTGCCAAAGCTTTTGGTTTCGTCAGATGGGACAATTCGAGCACTAAAGTCACTATAATACTGCTTGTTGTTTTACTGAAGCTCAGTTGTATGAAAACCCAACAATACCCATCTGATATGCTTAAACATGCACTTTGGGCTCCTTGACCCAACCACACCCTGGTGTTTAGTCTTGGGCAGTTCCGGTTTATATAGGGTTTGGGGGTTTCAGGTGTGCGAGTTTGTAAGGTTCAAAACCCTTGACTGTTTTTCGCTCCCTACTCCACAACTGTGTTCAGGGCTAAGGGGCAGTTTCGGGGCTAATGATAATGTACGGGCTGAAGCCCTGCTATGCCCTGCTGCATCTTAGCCCCTGGCTATCATCGGTTTGCAAACCGGGGGGTGCGACGATGAGCACAATTCGCGTTGATATCCGTGATGGTGATGATGGCGAGGACAGCGAGGAACATAGCACATCCATAAAGACTGGAAGGTGCGGTGTTCTACTGGTGGCCAAAACGAGGCTAGGCTTCTTCGTTACGACGAATGTCAGTTGTGATGGTAAAGGTTCCGGGTTTAATGGCGTCAGACGATGAACATGTGACAACGATGACGTGGATGATGAAGAAGCTGAAACTGATGATGAAGATGAGGATGAAGATGACGGTTAAAATCAAGATGCATATGACAATCGCTATGAGTTGGTATTGATCATCAATATGCGCAAAATTGGTACTCTGTTCCTTCCAAGATCGGGAGTGTAGCCATGGCTGATTCACAACCCAACCCAGCTGGTCAAGTACGCATATGCATTTTGGCTCAGCTCAGGTTTGGCGGTTGACGATTCAGGATTGCCGCTGGGGGCGACATGCACTTGGTCTCCTTCGGGGTAAATTGCGGTGGGGGGCTGGGCTCAACCTGAAAAAGACTCAAGGTGCATGGTGAGCTGGGAAATCAATCGCCATGCGCAATTACATCTGCTCGTGATACCTGAAAACATGTTCATCGACTGGCAAAAGTTGTCTGCGGTAACCTTAAAGGCCCAAAGGACCACTTCTCATCACGTAGCGATGGTCTTTGCCGCGCTGTAGCTTAGAAGCGCTACAATGTAATAGCAGCAACAGCAGCATTCGTGTAATGACACAGACAACGGTTTTAAGTTTCAACACTAGCAGCAACCGCTACAGTAGTAGACTTACCTTGACTTGCACTCAGGATAACGCTGCTCGTAAAGAGCAGCTCTACTAAAACCGTCGAAATGATCCATGTTGCAACAACATGTCCAGCGTAACATAACAGTATCGCACCACCGCTTGCTCCATGTGCGCCCAGCTTTGATTAGCTCTCTTGTTCAAGAGTGCTGTTCTGATCCGGTTGTTCGTGGCTCTTCGCCGTGAGTGAGCTCTCTCATGCACTCCCTCCCTCCCTCACCTCCTTTCTCGCTCGCTCTGGCTTTCGCCGCCTGGGCTTGCGATGGGTTGACGCTTTGGGGTAAGAGAAACCTCCAGGTGCGGTGTGTTCACCCAATCCTTAATTTCGTCCTGGAGTCCTTGCAAGCCGTGAGTCCTCGAGCCATGACAGTTTAGAGTCTAGACCCAAAAGCGCCAAGCTGAGAAATAAAGCATGTGCTGTGTACGGTACGTGTTGAAGGAGGCACAGCAAGGCGCAAGTTAAACCCGACACCGTCATCCCTGCAGCAGAAAACGCTAGGGTTTAAGGTTCAGGATTTGGGGTTCAGGGCTTATAAGGCTTGCCGTATAGAGTGGCGCATAAGCGGAAATATCTTGCGACTGTGTAATTTCGAGTGCGTCGTAGTACGACGATTGGCCGGTGGAGCCTGATTGTGGATGGCTCTTTCTGTTAACTCTCCCACCTCACGCCGTCTAAAGCGGCCAAACCACCCAAACCTATTCCTCTTAATTCGCGTTGGGCACCTAAACTCATTCCTTGGTTTTCTCTATCTCTTCAAGCTTGTTAATATACGTTTTCAGGGCAGGGCAGGGCAGCAGAGGACACGGGAGAGCAGGCAGTGTAGGGTGGGGCATGCAGGGCAGGGCAAAAGGATGGCAGGGCAGTGCAGAGAGGGCAGGGCTGGGCAGACCAGGGCAGGGGGATGGCAGGGCAGGCGCATGGCTATGGAAAGGCGAGAGACAGTATGAGAAGCGCCATCGAGGTCGAGCGGCTTAAGCGCCGCCCATCCATTTGAGGGTTATGAAACAAAATCCACCGAAGCCGAAAGCCGACAAACCGCAATATCCCAGAATCCCAAACTTACACCCAAACAGCCATCCATCATCAAGCCTCCTTTCCAACCTACGCCTCGGCTAGACAAGAGGGTTGAGTTGAAGCCTCAGATAGGGTTTTAACTTTACGATGTTTGAACTTCGGGGTCTGGAGTTTAGCGTCATTGGGTTTGGGATTCGAGGCGTAACCGGTTAGCATGGCTTAGGCCCCAAAGTGTCAGGATCAGAAAACTGAAGTTTCACCTGGCAACTCGAATCAAACACCGCCTAAATACGGTCGCTTAGGTTTCAGGGTGGGGCGCTAAATATCACCTACCTTCTAAGTACGATGTTAATAACGAAGCCTTAGGAAAAGCTAGGATACTTGACTATACTGAACTTAGAACCCTAGCCAAAATTATGATTTTAGCTGTTTCTTAGGGATTATAATAACCAAAAATTAAAAACTATTTCTAAGTACCTCTAAGTTGAGGTTAAACTAGGGTTTCAGGAGGTTCTTAGTCAAGAGGGACCTGAGCCTCGGACACAGAAGCTTCAAGGGAACAGAAGCCGCGAGCATGACGCTCTCTGTCGCTTCTGAATCCATCGAAACTTTATATGGGAGTTTCCGAAATTAAGGGGTACATTATTTTGGGGTCCTTATAATAAGGATCCTACTATTTTAGGGTACCATATTACGGTCCCCTATTTTCGGAAACTCCCATATAAAGACCACAGAAAGACGGGGATGTCCTATAATAGTTGCCCTAAACCCTACAAACCCTGCAATTCATTTTCTCACCCCTGGAGCTCCTATACCCTCCCGAGTTTGGGTACGCCGCCTTCTTCTAAAGCGCTATAGATCCGACGGAGCCGCAAGAACTGACCACGAAGCTAAATCTGTGCATACACTCGTGTATGTACCTACGTATATCTGCTTAGTTGTGTGCCTGTAAGTTGTGTGTTTAGTTCCAGATAGAGATGCGGAGGACGCAGAGATCCAAACATAGATATAGCTAATGTGTATAGACATGTGTAAATGTAGGTATAGATACAGATAGGGACACGGACCTTGATATAGCTGATCTGGAGGCCGTGCTATGTTGAATAGTGTCAGATGGGCCACAAAAGGTTCAGGGCTCAGGGTTGACGGCTCGGGCTTAGGGAGCATTTAGACACCGAAACACCTTGATAGCGTCCAACAACACATAGCCAGTGCAGGGCTAGACAGCATGGATACCTGGACAAAGCCAACAGGTTGAGGGTCCTGGCCTACAAGGGGGGTTATCAACAGGTAAGGTTGGCCCATGTACTAGATTGCGGTCAGTTTGCATTCCGCAAAAATCTTGGAGCCAGAAAACGGTACGCGCCTTTTGAAGTATTATCCCCACGAGGTTGTAATTGCAGGCTTGAGTAGTTCATTTTTGAACCCGCCCTAAACCTCAACCCCTTCTATGCAGGGCCGCCTAGGCTCATATAGAGGCTAGACCCAAGAGTAACCTGGGAATAAAAAGAGTGCCCTTTTTGGTTTAAAGGGGCTTATAAGGGAACCTGAACCCTACAAAAAAGAAATAAGGGCCTACTCCAGGTCCTAGGAGGCATCAGAAACAGGCTCCTTGCGGCCAAAGATGGGCGAAAGTCGCCGAGCAGCTGCAGCAAGTTCATCCTGAGAAGCTTAACCCTAAACCCTTAACCTCGGGCTTGGGGTTTGCGGCTTAGAGATACGCGAAGTGTTGGGATATTTAGCTTGTTGCGGCTGTTGCGTATGGGGTTTTGCTTTACCGAAAAATAACGATTTCGACAAACTGAGGACACTGAGCCTCACGGCTACCTTCACATGGTTATGAAAGTCTCGATGATAGCGGTGATCACGCGGGGGCGCCTACTGCTGCTGCCCTAAATCCTCTATGACCTGGGAGCCCCACACTGCAGTGTTGGTGCAACACCGGGCTCGACCCTACCCCCTCTTCAATCTAAGTGCTAAAACGTGAAACAGGGGCCGTACTAATCAGAATGAGGTGATTCGGGGTCTATTATGCTTTTAGGGTACTTAAACCTAAACCCTCAATAATCAGACTGTTTTTGGAGGCGTCTGTATAATACACTTATACCGGAGCAGCTGCTTCCGAAGCTCTCGCAAAGCCGGCCGGTCGATGCTCTCGATGGCCAGGGCCCAAGCTATGTTCGCCACCTCATGGGCGGTTTAGGGTTTACGATTTGGGATGTATGGGGTTTAGGGAGTTTAGGGTTTAGGTTTTAGCCATATGTAACATACATATATACATATACAAACATATATACACACTTTAATATACATATATATATATATACACATGCACATCACATACGTATGTAAGCACACCCGTGTAGACTTGTGTAAAGTCTTTACATCTTGTATGCACGCATACAAATGGCGACATGCATGAACGCATGAATAAAGACAAGCCGACTGAGACATATTCGTAAGTTCATTTGGGCCCGAGGCCTGCAAACACAACTCGTGCATGCGCGTGCGGTGTATGTATGCTTGAAGACGGACGTGCCCATCACTTTGTAGGAAGCCGATGCTCGTGGGCTTGGTTCGGGGTTTGTTGGGATGGGAGCAAACATGCGACTTCTTGAGCTTCCAAACTTCAAAACCGGGGTCTTAGGGTTTTGTAGTTTAGAGTTCAAAGTTTAGAGTCTTGGGGTTTACGGCTTCAGGCTTCTAGGCTTTCCGGACTTTCTTCACACCCTCGCCCAGGACTGCAAGTTCGGTCCGTCGCTAAACCTGTGCCCGAACGTAAACCCAAGCCCGGCAAAGCCCGCCAAACCCCAAAGTCCTAAACCCTAAAACTCAAGGTCACAGACCCGAAAGCCAGCAACACTAACCCGGCAACCCAAAGTTCTAAAACCCACCTACACCCCGAGGCCCACCCAAAGCCCTAACATGCCCGCACCTCCTGTGGGCCGAACTCCAAGACGCGGTTGGACGCTGCATCGGCCAAGCGCGGCATCAACGGGGAAGGTGCCGATGAGGACCTGGCTTGGGGCTATACGGCTTAGGTTGAGGGCTCAGGGTTTACCTGTAGTCTCCGTTGTAGGTAGTTCCTGTCATGGTCGGACCAGCTTCATGTCGAGGATGCTAGTAGGTTAGTAGGTCACCTAAAAACGAACTACACTGGAGACTACAGGTATGGCCTGCATTGAGGCCTTATGGTTTGGGGTTATGTGTGTCCTTTGGCGTCGTCGGGGCCTCCAGGCATCAATCTTCCTCAATGAGCCCATGTGCTTAAGCAAAAAAACACTGGCATAAACAACAAGCCGCTGCAAGCTCCCGAAAACCCGGCCTTATGCTCTAAGCAGGTCACTACATCCAACAAAAACTGTAGGCGAATGGACCCACCATGGCCCACTCTTTGATGAGCTTTAGGAGTGGTTAGTTCCTCGGACTTGTTTATGGGTTCGTGTGTGTCCATGAACCAATGCAGTACATACCTTGGCCATCCTTGGCCCCTAAAGCTTCTCTGCAAGAGTCGCTTTCAGGCCAAAGTATGCGCCATACATGCACCATTAATTTAGGGAAGTAGTAAGACTAGCCGAGCCGCAATCAACAACTTATTCGAAACAATCCGCGGAGAGGAGGCGCCCGACGAAGAACTGTTGTTGCAGCAGCTTAACAGCACAGACTCTAAATCCTAAATCAAGACCGAAAACTAAAACCAGAAAAGCCTACATCTCATGTATTAACCCTGGTGTAGCACACACACACACCGATGGAAGCGTATCTAAGTTATCTAAGCAATACTTCACAAGACAGACACGCGAAACCGAACTTCTCAACATGCTGAAAGCAGACACCTGAACACAAGCCCATGTATACACCTGAATCCTGAGTCTCTAATTCCAGCCTGCGTTAGGGGCCTTATGATGACGAAAAAAGAAGCTTTGCGAGGCCTACAAAGGGATACGAGCTTAATTGTCCGACCCTGCATTACAAACATCGAGCCTCAGGATTGGACCGTCTAGACCAGCAGCTGCAACCTAGGATTTAGGGTTTATGGATTTAGGGTTCAGGTTTTATAGGGGTTTAGAGGTTTAGGCGTTTAGGGTTTCGAGGTGGTGTATCCGCAACTTGTTTGAAGGGGCACACTCGAGGTTGTAGTGGAGGAGCCTCAATAAATTAGAATAGGGTTCTGGGGTGTTAAAGCAGAAAAAGCAAGAAGGAATTCCAAGGAATAGTAACGCTAAATGTAGGCTTCGCACCTATGCAAGCTGAAGATACATATTTAGGGTTTTTCGGGTTGAGGGCAAGAACATGTCGCGAAGCCGTAAGCACACAGTCCCTCTCAGAGAGAAAAGTCGTCTCTATCAAGAAAAACCAAGGCCCTGAACCTGCAGCTCTGCAGGCCCAGCTACCTAGACAGCATTGGTCATTGTGCAAGCATGGTATGGAAAGTCGACCCAAAATCGGTGGCTGGGCTTCTAGGAAGTGTCCATATATTGGGGATTTCGGTGTCTTGAATAGCCCACTGGCCCTCACTTGAGGATCAGGGCTGAGGCTAACTTCAGGTACGTAAGGGCCGGGTACTCGGGGCTTCGTACAGGCTTGAGAACTGAACCGAGCTGAACTCTCAAGCCTGCAAAATAACGACTCGTGAAGGCACCGCCCACATAACTGCGGCAATCTGGATAGGTTCCAATGACCTGTCTTGGACTATGCAGTGATACAGGGGGGGGGGGGTCGGGGGTTGAACAATTACAACAGGATTTTTGAGGGGGAGGTAGTAGTTGCAAGTTCGAATTGTCAGGCCTCCAATTCCTATACCCCCCTTAGAACCATAATTAAACTAGTAGTGTTTACTATTCTCTTGGGTTTCATATGAACAAGAATAATTGCTAGGAGACTATAAAATTCTCTGCATCAGGGGAGTGATAGCCTTTCGTTTTGGGGGGCCTGGGCTTTCGGTCTTGGGATTCCGTGCTCCGCTTGCCGCTGTTCAAACTGGCACTTGAAGGTCCAGCTTCGGATCTCGGCTCGCACATCCGTTTAGGGATTTAGAGTTTAGGGGTTTAGGGTTTGGAGATTTGACTTGGGTATAGGGTTTAGGGGTTGCGGGGTTTCGGGGTTTGGGGTTTGGGGTATAGGGTTTAGGGGTTTGAGGGTTGGGGTTGAGGGGATTAGGGTTTACCATTCCTCTTCGACAGCTTCATCTTGGTCAACTCCTTACGAAGCCAGCGAAAACTCCCTAAGCTCATATACTCTTCTCCGCGCTCTTAGCCGTTAGCCCCACACCCCCGAAAAAGCCTCAGAAGCCCCTTGCCTTCGAAAACAGGCCGACTATCTCCCTACAAAATACTACGACAGCCTTACAACCAAGGACACTGTTTACAGAGACCCCAGCTTAGAGAACTACCCACATGGACCAATGCGGCTGAGTGGTCCCCACCATCAAAGTCTCCCAAAACCGTACTCTAAGACCCTTCCCTCTACTAAACGCCATCTAGACCCAAACCCTGTACCCCTACACCTAAACGCCGAAACTCCAACCTGGAGTTTCTTGCGCCTCAGTCGCCGCTGCACGCAGAAGGCCGCCAGTTCTTGACCCGCCTGGCTCGCCAGGCCTTTGTGTCTAGGGTTTCACAAATATAGGGGGCCTTCAGAAGTAGGATAGGGCTGCTCATTGGGTTCCTTGAAATGGGATCTCTACGGGTTGTTATAGGGGTACGGCTTTGTAAAGGTTTGACATGGGCATATATATATATATATAGATAACAAATAAAGTCACGTAGAGAAAGTATAAGATTTACAAGGCGATAGTGGCACGAATTAATCATTATTCGGAGACGGAGTTTAGGGTTTACCTCAAAATGTGGGCTTCTTTGCAGGGTTCTCTTCAAGGTTCCTGAGGTTCGGGTTTAGGTTATATAAGGGTTTAGGGCCTGGGGTTTAGGTAAGTTTAAGTCAAGTCGGAAGACTGAGAGCATAGATTGTTGACATCTTCCTCCTGTTGGAACGGAGGCTAAGATCCTGATTCAGGTTCCTCTGAAAGGATCACTGGGTGAGGTAACTATGTATCTGAATCTAATCATGGTGGAAGACTCTGAGCATGGGGTTTCAGGACTTCAGGAGTGCGATTCTGGGACGTTACGGAGATCCAGCGTCCTTGCGCAGAGTTCTTGCGACAAGCACCCTGCTACCCCGGGCCTTTGCTAGTCGGGCTGTCCAAGCTGTAGCAGATCTCCATATGGGAGTTTCCGAAAATAGGGGACCCTAATATGGTACCCTAAATAATAAGATCCTTACTATATACAAGGACCCCAAACAAGGTACCCCTATTTTCGGACACCCCCATATTCATGCGGACTTTAAATCTGGGGGTCTGCAACTGTCTGGGCCTGATTGGGGGCGTCCGGGTTCAGGGCGAGTTGCGTCGGGAGTGAAACCCTTATCCTGAAATACTACACCAACCATACCTAGAACCCCCAAAGTACAAAGTAGGTAAAACAATGGCCCAAAACCCAGAAAAGGCTATTATTTTACTTACTTTGGGGGTCCAGGTAAACCTTAATGCTTAATGAAAGGTCCAGGTCTTCATATGTAGAGTTGTGAACCGGGGGGAGACTGATTGTCCGACTCCACCTGTTGCTCTACGAAGGCACTAAACCCTGCTACAGCCTTGAGCCCTAATTCGATGCAGTAAGCCCTATAGACTCCCGAATTATTTTAAGTGCCATCAGAACTTCATGCCTTTCCAGGCTGGATTCCATGCAGAGCTCAGGGTCTGAGGGCTGCAGTTTGGAGCCGTGTATTAACAAGGAAGGACACCCCACACAGCCCGAAAAAAACCTGTTCATTCCCTGCCTGAGCCGCAGGTGGCCAAGGCCCAAATGCCTAAGATCGCAGTTTATAGGGCGTCTCTATGTGAGAACCGTCTGCAAAAACGTTGAGATCTTACTAGCTGCTACTAGCCGAAGGCCTTGAGAGGCTTCTTAGATCAGGTGAAAACCGATCAGATCCAGAATCCAGCAAAGCCTTGAGCAAAGCGTGCGTCGTCCTCTCGTTTTGCCATCTGACTGGGTAAGCTAAAGGGATTGAAGACTGGCTAGAGTCCGCACCGAGATGATGAAGGCCACACCCCAAGCTGTAGGAGGCGTAGCAAGAGTGCCCACGAGAGCGAGGCTCAGTAGTTTCGGAGACCCGTATTTCTGTCCTTACATTTGAGGATGTCCGCACTTTCTGGTTGAGATCAATCGGGCTTTGTGCCTGACTTAGAGGGTCCTAGGTACTGTTCTGGGGGATACCTTCCCAGACCATACTAATAATTCCCACACTCTAGCAACCCAATGTTCTCATCTTTCGTCTATAGGTAGTACTTGGGACCCTTTGCGTGAGGCTTCGTCTTCTCGTCACCAGACGCCAGCATGGATAAGTCGAGGCCCAGACTCCAAAGCATCTGAAGGCCACCGCTATGCAACCCTTGAACCTCCTCTACACTTTGAAAGCTGGGCCTTACGAGGCGAGGGGTTTCCTCTGTATGTGTATATATATATATATATATATATATACATACATATATATATATGCTCACCCCCCCCCCATGACAGACCGTCGTGGGGAAGGGGAAGGGTGGCGTGCGTCCCCAGGCAGGATCTGTCAACGGATAGGCGACAGACACTTCTCCCAAACTCAATTCCAAAATGTTCTTTTAGATGGTTTGCAATTTTTGGAAATTTCTTCACATGCATGCAGCGCTCCTAGTCCCAATCTTAATCTCAATTCTGCTCTTCGTACCACTATTACTGTTTGTAGATCTTAATTCTTGTATCAGTGTTAGCATTAGTATTATTTTTGTGGTAGTATTGATATTAGGATGTTTAGTATGAGTAATAGTATTCGAATTAGTATTACTCTTAGTATTAGCATTAAGTATGTGTATTGATGTTAATAGTAGTAGTCGTCGTACTAGCAAAGTTGTCGCACAGCAGTAGTAGTGGTAGCATTAGTATTGGTATTGGTATTAGTATTAGAATGAGTATTAGTATTAGTATTAGTGACTAGTATGAGTATCAGTATTAGTTTTAGTATTAAGTATGTGTACTAGTAGTAGTAGTAGTAGTAGTAGTAGTAGTCGTCGTAGTAGTAGCAGTAGTAGTAGCAGCAGTAGTGGTGACATTAGTATTGGTATGAGTATGAGTATTAGAATTAGTAGCTAGTATTAGTACTAGTATTAGTGTTAGGATTAATATGTATTGTTCTTGGTTCTATTCTTAGTACTGCTGTCATTGTTTGTAGTAGTCCTAATCCTGGTATCAGTGTTCATATGAGTAATAGTTTTGTGGTAGTATTGATATTAGGATGGGTATTGCTTTAGTACTAGTATTGGTATTGGTATTTAGTATTAGTATTAGCATCAGTATTAGTATTAGTATTGAATAAAAGTATACATATCAATAATAGTAAATATGAACTCGTGATTATGTTCGTGCTGGTGTTAGTGCCAGTGTCGATGTCAATGTCAGTAATAGTACTCGTGTTAGTATTAGTATCAGTCTGAATGCTGGTTTTTGTCTCTGTTTATTATTCACAGAAGTGCTGGTATTAGTATCAGTATTAAAAATAGTTTTGATATGTGAATATACTGATTGATTCGTACATTTTGAGCTTAATATAATAATACAATAATGTTTTCGAACAATAGTATATTTGCAGAGTTGAAGATTGTGCGAATATATTAGTACGTTGGTGCATGAGTACATTAGTATATTGGTGTATCATGATATTCGTATGTTAACGTAGTAGTATATTAGTATATTATTATAGTGGTCTATTACTACATTTACTATATTCGTATTTTCCCTAATAGCTTATAGGTATATCAATATGTTGGCATAATGGCATGTGAACATGTCAGTGTACTTGCCTTTTACAGTATTCGTATATTAGTACACTAGCATATTTAGTGATAATTAGTGTTAATGCCAGTGCCAATGTCGATGTCAGTTTTAATCAGTCTTAATGATGAATTTAACATCAGTGTAATATTCGCGGACGTGCTAGTATGCGTATCAATACTATAACTAGTTTTGATATATTAGTATACTGATATATTATATAAACAGCTTAGTATACCAACACATTATAATGTATTCGAACAGTAATATGTTTGTATACCTGCATGTTTGTATGCTCTTAGTATATTAATGCATGCGTACGTTCGTGCATGAGTACATTAGTATATTGGTGTGCTATTATCTTCGATTATTAACATATTAGTGTATGAGTATCCTGGTATGCTACTTCATTTATCATATTCGTATATTATCTAACAACTTTTTTGGTATATCCATATGTTAGTATACCATTGCCATGTGTCAGTGTACTTGCATATTACAGTATTCGTGTCTTAGCAAGTTAGCATATCAATACAGTATAATCAGACGTTAACAAGTAGTATATTGTCACGTTGGAAACTGGGTATATGACAAATTAAATACGAATATACTACGTTAGTACACGAATGCATTTATATGTTTGCTTTTCAGATAGTGGTATGTATATCTGCGGACATTAATATACGCAGGTGTCTGTTAGTATTGGCATTAATATCAATATGAATATGACTATTGGTAGGCGTAGGAGTATTAATGTTAATAATAGAATTAGTAATGTGCATATTCGAAATGAAAGCATTAATATACATGTCAACGTTAGTGTTAAAAGCACTACACAGTAATCTTACTTGAGTCATATATAGAGCAGATTCCAGCATTTCCAAAATTCCCAAAATTCTTTCCCCTAACTTTCCGGATTTCCAAAATTTCCAAAATTTCCAAAATTTCCAAAATTTCTAAAATTTCCAAAATTTCCAAAATTTCCAAAATTTCCAAAATTTCCAAAATTTCTAAAATTTCCAAAATTTCCAAAATTTCCAAAATTTCCAAAATTTCCAAACTTTCCAAAATTTCCAAAATTTCCAAAAAGTCCGCCCTTATGTTTTGGAAAAATCCTGTCGACTAGGTCGGGAAATTTTGGAAATTTTGGAAATTTGGGAAATTTTAGAAATTTTGGAAATTTTGGAATTTTTGGAAATTTTGGAAATTTTGGAAATTTTGGAAATCTGGAAAGTTAGGGGAGAGAATTTTGGAAATTTTGGAAATTTTGGAAATGCTGGAATCTGCTCTATATATGACTCAAGTAAGATTACTGTGTAGTGCTTACTATGTAGTGTGTCAGCACAACCCTCATCCATACACGTGTGCTCTGTAATTCCTTTCTTGGTAGGACACCCGTGCGCCTTATCGTGCTGCTTTCTGGTCTCAGTCTTTTGGTGGTTCCAGGGATACGTTCGGAGGGCTCAAACTCGATACTCCGGAAAAAGCACGAACACGCCGGTGGGAGCGATGTTTTAAAGGGGATGGTCTGTCATGGGGGGGGGGGTGACCATATATATATATATATATATATATATTTTTTTTTTATTAGGTACTTTAGGGTGATAGCATATAGGGTATGGACCCGGCTTTAAACCCTGTAGCATTCTGATAAAAACCAGGTAAGACCGTTGCACAACCCTTCAGTTGCGACGTCGAGGACTGCTTTTGCAAAGTCAGCGCCATCTCTGCCGTTGCATTAGCCGCTGAAGTTTCAGACTTTGCAGCTGAAAAGTTCGGGACTTCTCATGTTCTATAGCGGGCTCCTTACCTCAATAGGATCTTCATAAATAATTTGCTATGATACTGTAGGAACTAGAGCTGAAAATGGAATGCCCATAACTATTCCGACTCCTGCAACTATTCGTGTTGAGGACGTAAGTAGAGCTGAAGAGGTGCTTGTGTTTCAGGACGTCGGATTTCAGATATGAGTTGTTTGAACTTGGCGTGCCGATAGTTGTGTGCACTTGCGGCTTCAGGGTTCAGTAGGACGCAAGACAGAAACGACTCCAAGATCACTCGAACTTGGTTTTGAACGAGTCAAATTTTCGGTTTCATGCATGAGCTTTCGCAGTGCTTTCAGAAAGGGTCAATAATGAGTGCTGTTTAATTTCGTTTAATTCAGGCGTATGCATCAAGCCTTCCGGGTTTCGTTGATCAGTTTCTGGCCTATGGTATTGTGTCCTGCATCGTATGTATTTCGAGCTTGTCGTGCTTCGTTAGCTTCGCTAGCATTGCCTCGGGTACGGTCTCTGTGTCTTCAATCCTTCAGGGTTCCGCCACTGAGTCTGAACTTGCAGAAGAAGTGCTGCTGCTTCCAAGAAAGCTATCACCCGGCACGACTTTGGCAGCCGGTATCCTCCATGGAGCTGCACCAAGAAAATCACCTCTTACAGGGCTCGCCGGAATACTATGCTCAGAAAACCACACCATCAAGTGGATCTTCCAACAATTGCATACCCGTTCTGCGACGACTCTTATCAGATGATACTTTGCCAACAACTCTGCATCGTAGAGGCGTGTGAAGAGCCATGCCACAACCACCGACATCCAACACAACGATACGCAAAGCAGCTGGAAGGATTTCTTGGCAACAGGCCCCTCATTCCCTTTGGACTTGGCAAACCCAACGATGGCCATTATTGCTGCTGTGAAGACATGGCACGCGTAGAACAACATCTCCTGCTTGCCAGAATGCTCCGCACTGATGAGTCCCATCGCACGAGCCCAAAATATCAATGCTTGCCCGATCAGTGCAGTTGGCAGAAAAAAACATGTAAAGTTTGCGGCGATTTGCCCGTGGCTCCACAGCGATGCGCCCGGAAACTCCGCGTGGATCACCATCAGCATTGCGATTGAAGCAGCGATGAAAGCAAAGTTCAGGATCCCATAAGCATTTGCAATCAAAGTAACGTAATACGTTGGATCCCGTAGTGGGACGGAGACAGAAGTGAGCACATTCACAACCGAAACCAGAATGACGCACAAGTCCAGGGCGGTAACCTGGTACCCGAAACCCATCAATCTGAACCAGGAATTTCGTGAAAAGAACAAAGAAACAACTATTTTTGTCACGTGCATTTTCCGGGCGATGCCACATCGATTCCAAACAGGTCCCTCGTTCCACAGCTCGCAATTGAATTCAGCAGAGTCTTGCTGGTCGCGGTCATTGCTGTAGATGTCTCGGTGGTGACAGTCAGTGCAGAATCAGGAGTTGCCAGGGCATTCGTTGCCGCGCGCAACTTGTTCAGCTCCCGAGATCTTGAAGCAAAAGAAAAGGCTGAAGAACAGTATCAGCACCACCAGGGCCACCGTGAAACCAAGGATCCGAGCCATGAGCAGTTGAACCCAACGCGGAAGGCACTCCACTTCGAGGTCCTCTGTGGCAGGCATCGGGCTGCCAGGAGGTGATCGTCGAATGATTCGAATGTTCGAGAATATCTCGCCTGCGCGCTGATTCAACCAAGGCCTCTGACGTCCACGCCAGCTTTGCTGAACCACATCACATGCTTTTTCGCATGCAGCCTTAATGCTAATGCCGTCTTGCTCCAAAAACTTCACAAGGGCGGAAGACAGACTGTTAGAATCCGCCGCCCAGCCACCAGGATCACATGCCAGAAGGAAAAGGAAATGCGGCGTGAGATTGGTCTTGAGAGAGTACGGCCCGCGACGCCCGTCAACATGTTCAACAAGGTTGATCTCAGACTGGTGCTGCTGCCAAGCAGTCGTAACCCCTGCCCGGCAAGTATCCATAATTATCCACACGCAACAGTCCCGCCGATTGCGTCTTGGAGGTGTTACCTTGGCCAGCTCGTTCAGAAGGAGCATGTCCAGGTCAACTAACTGTTCTGTCTCGGAGCTGTGGATGTCTGCAGGCACAACCAAGGGCAGTTCTTTGCCATGTGCATGGATGCCATGGGATGCCACGAATAATGCTACCAGCAAAGGTTCCTCTGGAATTCGCGCCTCCTGCATCTGATTCTTTGTCCGGCTAACGAATTGAGACACGAGTTCCACGACATTCTCCCGCGTTAGTTGGGCGTTTCTGCTAGTCGCTGACACTGTATTGCCGCAGCCCAATCGCTTGAATGCAGATGCCATGTTTTCGGCATCCTCTGCTGCTTTCTGTAGGATTTTCTCGTGCTGATAGTCGCCGATGCCGAAGCACAAAGCTTCTGCAAAGTAGCAATTTAAAGCTTGCATGGGCGGAACTCAGATGTGGAAGACTAATTACGGCAGCCAAGCTCCTTCCATCAGACTGCTTTGCCTATAGCAACACTGCGCACAACCCTCAGAAACCAAATCCGAAATACAAACAGCCTGAGATCGTTAAAGCTAGGCTAGCTCCAGATGGGGCATTGATTTCTTCAGTTCACCCTGAACCCAACACCCGGGTGACACGACCTCGCCAAGTTAGGGGAGCTGGCCCTACTGCCTGAGCAAGAGCAAATCACGGAAGGCCACGCCGTCCATACTCGCATGTGATGAGGAGCCCTAAGGTTTGTACAGGGGTAGGTATAATGGACAGATAGACGGAGAGATAGATAGGTGGGTAGATAAACACGTAGATAGGTATGCCAATATGCACTTGTGTTTATGTACATGTATATGTAGACATACACATTCATACATACATACATACATACATACATACATACATACATTACATCACAAATACGTACGTACACACATACATACATTGCATGCATACATACATACGTATGGCATACATGCAAGTACGTGTTATGTACATGCACACACAACTGCACATGTATGTAAGTGCGTGCTATGTATGTTTATGTACGCATGCATGTTTTTGTGCATGTACATGTGCCTGTATGTATATGTAAGATCCGTATATGTGAATATGTACATATGCATGTATGTATGTATGTATGTATGCATGGGTGTAGTCGTGTATGTACGTATGAATGAAAGAACGTATGTATGTAAGTGTGATATTCATTGTATGTATGTGCGTATGTACGTATGCATGATACTGCATATGAAACATGTATGAACAAATTTTAACTTGATAATGTATGTATGCATGTATGCATGCATGGATGGATGGATGGATGGAAAGTAATGTATACATATGTACTGAGAAGGTATCCGTCAAGACAGACCCCTAAGCCTACCAAACCTTCCAGCCTTAACGCCCACAACAACATCCTCCTATAAGTAATGACGAGACTCTGCAATTCCTATCCTTATGGCAGATGCCTCGGGCATCGACGTGGAGTTTGAGATCTGTGGCTTAGCTGTGCTGTAGCTGCAACCGCCAAGGCTTCAGTTTGATACCTTTGCCCTCGAACCTCAAACCTCGAACCTCAAAGCTGCAGTGGACGATCGGGGATCAATCCATGACTGTATGGAGTAGACCCTGCTGGGAACTCCGTCACGTCGCACAAGCCCACTGCAACAAAATCCTCCAACGCGTCCTGCGGCTGCCCCGGAACCGGATTAATGTTGCTCCCGTTCAAGAATTAGTTCGCGAGTCTACAAAACAGTATGAAAGCAGTAAATTGAATGCTCATGGGTTTTGGCGCCTCAAAACCCACCTCAGCTAGGAAAAACACAACCCCAAAAGCAGCCGAAGGGGCTGTTTGCCAGCTCTTGCGTCCGGAACAGCTCAGGGCTGGCAAGTCCCTTGGCCACTAAAGTGGGCATCAGCAAGGCCTCCCATGGAGTCGCGGAAGGCGCCAGGTTCAGGCCTAGCTTGGTAGAACTGAAATACGCCCACACGAACAGGCCAGAGGGCTTGTTGTTGAGGAACATAGTGTAAGCTACCATAAATGGTATCGGTTCTATAGTAATTAAACAAATGGTGTTCTCAAGCGGTAACTTCTCATAAGATTATTAACAAGATCCCTTGCAAGATAACAAGATAACTTGCAAGAAACGTCTTCAAGGACACTTGGGCACTTTGGGGCACAAAGGTACGGCTAAGGGTTGTTTTTGTTTTGATTTTCGCTCCTGAGGCTTGCAAGGCTTAGGTGGTAGATTCAGATTGTTCGTCACAGCAGCATATGATACGACTTTTTTGCACAGTCCGACACGGCAAATATCTTCATCGTGACCGGCTCGGTTTTGCAGTCAACCACTCTACGAAGTACAACTCTAGTCACCTGAACCGCTTGGGCACAGGGCGTGTCAGTGTTTTGGTGGAGGTCAGTACTCAGGCATCTATCTGTATATATATATATATATATATATATGTATATATATATATATATATGTATATATATATATATACATATGTACGTATGCACGTGTGTATACACATACATATATATATATATATATATATATACATGAAGAAAAGGCCTGTTCCGGCAGCTCGAAATCCAGAGCAGCCATAGCCCACCTGACAGAAAACTCCTTGGTGCTAAGTAGGGAATGGGGGAATGGATCCCTACTAAGCAGGGTTCGTTTGAGGGATCTATAAGGGTACTATAAGGGTTTAGGGTTTAGGGGGAATGGATTTCCATAGTAGGGCTTAGGGGGTGTTGTCTCCATATAATACTCAATAATAGTCCTCATAACCGATTCCCAATTCCCTTCTAAGAACCTGACAGAAAAACCCTTTCGGTTTGGGGCGCGGGGGTTGTGCGTTCGAAACTGGGGGTTTGAAGTCAACGTCGTTTCGTCTTTCACTGTGTGTGTGTATATATATATATATAATACATGTATATATATATATATATATATATATATATATATATATATACTTATATATATATATATATATATATATATATACATGTATATAAACATGCATGGATTCTAGGGTTTAGGGCGTCGGGTGCGGGGTGGTAGTGGTGCTGCTGGGCTTGTTGCTGCTGCTGTACCCTACACCCTGAACCCTGACTTGGTCTGTGCTTGCGCGTGTTCGCGTGCGGCTTTAAGGCCGGTCTAGAATTGTCCGTGGCATACAGGTTCTGAGAACGACATATTTTTCGGGCGTTAGGATTAGGGGGACCCTTAAACATATAGACCCTCTGACTGAGGTCCCATCTAAGGGAGCCACATGTAGGGTTAAGAAGGGTCCCCTTTAAGGGATCTCCCTCACACTATCTAGGAGCTTCAGGTCTGGGGCTCAGCCGAAGGGCAAAATAGGGTGTTGAGGTTTGGATGGCAATGTTCAGGGTGTGGCTTTCGGAGAGCTACGATCCATAAGGCTTGAGCCTCCGAAATTGAAACACCAAAACCCTAAACCTCCATAATGTCTCAACCCGAAGCCCTACACTCGATGCCTCTGTAGACCTGAAGCAAACAGCCAACGGATGCCAAGTCACAATCCGTTGCTGATATCCTGCGGCTTGAGCTGTCTCCTGAAAGCCTGAACCAGGCACAGAACTTGGACCAAAACTTGAAGCCCGGTTGTTGTATGCCAGTAGCACAGCCGCCTAGACGGTAATTAAGTTGCTATCCTAAAGGGTCTATAGGGTTTTGCGGGTCTGGGATTACTATTACCTTACTATGGGCAACAGGGCTTCTAGGCCGCAGGCGACGTAGGTCGTGCGGCGCAGGGGAGAACAGAGCGAAAGGATAGTCCTGGTACAATTGCAGTGATCACCCACGGTGAGAAGAGTGGTAGCTGCAGTAGCAGTGGAAGCAGAGAAAACAACAATAATGATAATTTGTTCGTACGTAATCAATCAAGTAATAACGATGCTAATGGAATTTGTTGTCGTGCTTGCTGTCGTCGTGTCAATATGATTGTCGCCGTGGCAGTGGCAACAGTTGCTAGTTGCGTTAGCAGAACCAGAGTATAAGCTGGAGGATCTTGCCTGAGTTCTTGCTCTCTGTGCGGGGCCGTGGTAGTCCCAAATTGGTGGCACGCAGCATTGCAATGCCCGGCGATTGCTTCAACCAGACATTCGACACCGCGCAGTGCCTGGGCTTGGCCGGAATACCTGGAGACTGCCAAGCCGCCGTCTCCAGACGTCTTCACTCCATGGGCACGGTGTGCGCTGCGCTGGGTGAACGCTTTGGCTTCAAGCTTGGTCGGACAAGGTCTCTTGGTGGGTTTTCCTCCGCGGTGCTCTTGCTGCTCCTTACTGCGGATGCGCCACGTTTTCTGCTTTTCTGAGTGCTGCACGCGCCAGCGAGGCGTCTGGCAGGCACTTGGGCACTAGCTCCTCCGTCAGGTGAGCAGCTGACATCCGTCGCCGTCTGTGCTGGTTTTCGCTGCGCTACGGTCATCTGATTTGGTTTCTTTATTGGGTCAGCAGCTCATCCCCTTCGAAGACGTTAAACATTCATCGAGAGTATAAGCAATAGCGCAATCGGAAACATGAAGCATAACAACGAGAACTGCCAATCGTCGCAGTAGCAGCTGGGCGTCGCCATGGTTAGTCGTCGAACTAGCAGCAGCTGGCCATGCCGATTACCCGAGCTGTTGTCCAAGCTATGCGTGGTTCAAGCCTTAGAGTTTAAGGGCTCCGGGTTTAAGCCGTATGGTTCGAGGTTTAGGCCTTGTCATGTGCAAACCTGTCGACCTTTCAACGCCGGATAGCAAGCAAGGCCAAACGCTCAGCGGAGATAATTTACAAAGCTGCGTTGAAATGCAAGGGGAAGCCCTCAAATTCTAAAACGTAAGCAGGTGCTTCCCCGCCGGACATCCTGCAAACAAGCTTGAATGTAGAATGTCGTGCGACGACCACATAGGAACTGCCATTGCTGCGGTGACATTATTGTATTGCTTATGACTGAGCTTACCCAGAGGCTCCAAAGTAGTTCCTTTTGGGGATTACCTTATAGGATGCTAAATATGAACCCCAAAAAGGAACTACTTTGGAGCCTTAGGGTAGTACTCAGACCACGATGTTACCTAGTGCGGAACTTTAGAAGCAGACCCTGACCCTCGGCCTCCGGGCTCCGGACGATGCTTCCTACCCTAAGGCTCCAAAGTAGTTCCTTTTTGGGGTTCATATTTAGAATCCTATAAGGTAATCCCAAAAAGGAACAACTTTGGAGCCTCTGGGTAAACATCAGCCTGCTTCGGGCATAGGGTTTACGTTCTGAAATCCCACGCTTGAATTCGAGCCGCGCCAGACGCTGCACCTGACTGTCCGTTCCCAAACACCGCGATCCCTCAATCTTGCTCAGGATTCAAAGCTTAAGGTTCGGGTCTTGGGACAAGGCCTGAAGACTTGGCCCTAAACGGTGCGAACCCCAAACTTTTAAACCCCTAAACCCCTAGACCCGTAAACCGCGCCTTGTCTGAAGATTGGCTCGCAAGCTGAGCTGCCACCTCGGATATAAGGGTAGACGGCCTGCAATACACGGACGTTCCGATGTCGCTTAACCCGAAGCTGGTCCCAAACCTTAAGAAAGTCGTACTATAGGGGCCGTAAAAGTTAGAATAGGGTTGGGGAGTATATTATAACATAATCACAGTAAGGAACCCCGACAATAGTATTGGGAATTATTGAGGCCCCTGTCGTATCCCATGTGCCTCCAAACCGGAGCCTATTCCCCAAGCCCCTGCCTTATTCGCCAGCTCCGGGGGCATGCTTTGCACGGCCACGCTTCGAAGTCGCGCCAGAGCCCACAGCGTGTTCCTGAAGTTTTTTTACCCAGGGAAGAGGGTGGGGCGCAGCTTGGATCATTGGTGTTCGGCTGGCAGTAAAAACCCCCAAAGCCCATGTTCCTTCCAAAAACAAGTCGGAATACTAAGTATAGCATAGCTTAGAGCACCTCTGACATGTTTACAATATACAATACGACCCCAACTCCTGTTAACATGATACAGTCCCTGCGTCACCCTTCAGTGTCCAAGGGGCGACAACTGCCTGGCATCCAGCTCTCCTGGAGTTCAGGGATCAGGTTGGAGTGTTACGGGGCTGTTCTGGGAGGTTCATGGGTAGTTGTAAGTAGGGTTATAAGTCCCTTAATATGAATTATACATAGAGTTACCCTACTTATGACCCCACTTATAACTACCCATGAACCTCCAAGTTCTGGGATCCTGAGGATGTAAACCTCGGACCTAAGCCATGAAGGTAGAGCTATACCTACAATACAGACCGTCTAAGGGCCACAGCCAAGCATAGCACAATAGGATACTATGGCACATTATGTGATTATCTGTATATGCTATGACCGAGATAGTATACGTATCATACAGAGCTATGTTGGCGAGCTATGCAGCAATGACGCTACAGAGACAACTGAGCAACTCGCAGAATCCAAGCGACAGCCGGAAGGGATAGAACCTGAGCTCCCCGGCCCTACATAAGCCCAAACCCGAAAAGCACAGACTCAAAAGCTTCAACTCTGAGCCAGAAACCCATCCGTACATTTTGCATCAGAAACCTTGATCTCCTCCTCCTCCTCCTCGTCCTCCTTTTAATCCCGATCAAACGAACTCGGGCCTTGCTCCAGAAGGTCGTGCTGCAAAGATAAGAGCACCCTGGGGTTTAGCGTTTATTAGGGTTGAGGGATTACCCAGAGGGTCCAAGTACTCCCTATTATAGGACTTTGGGGCCTTTTTAGGTTACCAAAAACCATAAATAGGAACTACTTGGACCCTTAGGGTTAGAGTTTCGGATTTAGGGAGCATGCTTCGCTCAGGGCTGGTGGTCTCAGGATGAGAGCCGGTTCAGGGAGAAGTCCTGCATGTGGCAAGCTGGCATTTGAAGGCCTCATGGATACGGTTGATGATATAAATCCTGCATTACTCATAATCAGGAATATACCATAATTCCCGTAGTTTAGAGCCCTTACGGTAATGCAGGATTTATATCATCAACCGTATCAAGGCATCTTGGGAGCTCGGAGGGCTTCCACGAGCCGAGAGAAGAAAAGTGAACCGTGAAACAATCAACCACCTTTGCTCTGGGTTCCTTATTATGATTTCCTTATATAGGTCCTCAAAAAATGTAGGTTCTTCCGGGTTAAGGTAGGCTTTCAAGTGGGGTGGGGATTCTGTCTCCTCTTGCTGGACTTGAGTTGAAGTGTCAGCATGTACTAGGGTGAAGGATGGCAAATGCTTTAGAAGCAACCTCAAGACTAAAACTGAAACAAGGGAGCTAACCTGAGGAAGAGCCCATCCAGCATGGACATCTCAAACCGTAAAACCCACACTCTGAGTGATGCATGGAATTTTTGAAGGTTTAGGGTTTAGGGTTCATAGGACCTAACACTAAACCCTACAGTCTACACATCACTGAACCTTCCCTATACATCAGACTTAGCAGCGCGAAGCAAGCTGCCTGAACTGGGCGTAGAGGCATAGAGGCTCAAACACTCCCCACAAGCCGAACATGAGGGCTTTGGAGGCTGGAGTAGTACTGGAGTAGGTCTTTGGGGCAGATACTATGTATACTATGATATACCCCAGCGCCCTATCTCTCAGGATAAGTGTCGATTTTCAAGTATTTTTCCATGTCACGGAGCCCTAAGGTGCCTTATCGCTAGCTATACTGTTCGGGCCTCCGTGTTGCACACCTGGTTTCGAGGTCTTGGAGCTCGGAAGTATGAAACCTCCGGCTACAAAAATCCATCAGCTCTAAACCCTAGAAGGCAAACTTGACTGGCGAAATCCCGATCTCAAACATCGCAAATGCAGTCCTAGTTCAGTGCAGAGCTCCCTTGGAGCCTGAGCCCCTGAACCCTAAACAACGTACATGTGACCCTATTTCAAAAACAAAGCTTGGGTCTGAGCCGCTTGAACATCGGCACCACAGATAATTTCTGATGATTGCTGTGAACATCTGACTCTTGCTTTGAGGCTTTGCCAGCTCAACTACTGTTGTGGTTGAGTTGTCAAAGGATTCCAGGTTGCTTCAGCCGAGCCACTTCAAGATCGGCTTCGCCAGCCGATCGTCGCGAAGCGAGTGCTTTGCCTCGGTCCAAACGAAACTGAGCAGAGGTGTCGATAGCAATTAGGGTTTCAGGTTTTCGGGCTTGAGGGTTTAGCGCTTGAGGCCTTAGGATTAGGCTTCAAATTGTAGAGTTGAGTTTGGGGATGTGTTCGCGGCTTACGGCGTGGCAGGAAAGATTCGGGGATGGCTCTCAAGATGCGCTCAACCTTAAACCGCAAACCCAAATCCAAAAGCCTCAACCCTCCAGCCTAAACCCTGGACTACTAAAGCCTAATCGAGCTATTTGTGCGACTGCTGTATCGCCGTGGTCATCAAGAGCTGAGCAAAGCCCGGTTTAGAGCTCCTGAGTATAGGATATTGCGAGAATACAGGGCTGTATTACGGGGCGAACAAGGCTTGTTCTCGGGGGAGTGTACTATACTGGTGCGTGTAGGGAGTGTAGGGTTCGAGACTTGGCAAAAAGGAGGAATGGCAAGCCCAATGCTTTGTTTATTCGCAGAAGATGATTGCCGAGTGCAGTTTTCAGCTTGCTTGCGGGCTCACGATTAAACATGTATATGCAGAGCTGCACGAAACTGCATCTACAGCCTGAAGCTGAAAGGGTCCTAGGTACTGTTATGGGGGAGAAGTACTGAGATATGGAACACTTTCCCAACTCATAACGGTACCCCACAAAAGAAACCCTTCATTCTACTCTGCAGTCTTAAGGTACTTAGGACCCTTTGGGAGTAGCCGAGTCCTAAGACGTTGCACAAGGACCAAACTTCTCGCCTACAGCCTGGACTTTGACAGGTCTTTCGGGATTTGGTCAAGTCATACTAGTTCTTAGGGTTTAAGTTCTTAGGGTTTAGGGTGTAGGGTCTTGCTTAGTTTGCCCCTCTTTTTGCGATGGTAATGATTCAGGCCCCTATGGCGCAATTTAGGCTTCCTTGAAGGGTTCCTATAAGGGTAACTCCAAAACGGGTTCTACGAGGGTTCTATCAGAGTTTAGTTTAGTACTCTAATTATGAAGGCCCCTTTGTTGCCCGAAGTGAGGGGGTCTGGCTCAATGTCTAGTAGGGCAAGACACGAGCAAGTGGAGCGAGGTTGTGGAATGAATCCGATCGAGTCCTGGGCGGAGCGCATGGTCCGTTGAGGTTTGGCCTAATATCCTGTTTAATCTAATCTAAGATTTAGGGTGGAGGATTTTCAGATTTGACAAAGTATGGGCGTGCGATAAATTCTGCTCTGGTGCTCGAAGCACACACACCCAGCCTCTTATGTATGGGCATGAGTAGTTACCTATACTATTTTGCGGGTTACTTAATGATAGTATAATAACCCCCCAGACCCAATTCTAATTATTTGGATCTCAGCCTCTTGCCAAGTGGTTGGTATTTGTAGCTAGGGATCAAAGGTTTCAGCACAGCCATGCAGCACCGCGTCCCCCCAGGACGCCGAACATGGCACCCCCCGGTTTAGGGTTTAGGGGTTCAGGGTTTAGGGGTTTAGGGTTTAGGGTTTAGGGGTCTGGGGTTTAGGGGTTTAGGGGTTTAGGGTTTAGGGGTTTACGGGTTCAGGGGTTTAGGGTTTAGGGGTTTAGGGGTTTAGGGTTTAGGGTTCAGGGGTTTAGGGTTCTTACGAAGAGCCCGGATTCCTGGGAAGAAAGGGACTGAGATCGACGCGCTTCAAGTTCTGGGAGACGAGCACCAAGACCTCGACATGTACAGTTGAAGCCCAAAAGCCCAAAGGCTCCATGTACCTTTATAGTAGATACTTAAGCCCTAAACGGGTCCCTATTTTGGTACTTTAAGGCCTAAGTCTACACTATATGGATACATGGAGCCTTAGGGAAGTTGGAAACCCAACAGCCTCAATCCTCAAGACTAATGTATCGGGAATCCCAGCTCTTTTTGGCCTTAATCCGGTTTCCAACTTTAAGGGGTTTACTGTAGGTTGATCTCATCCGTGGACATGCCACCATTTGAAGCTTGATCGCACAGGGTTTGGGGGCAAAGATCTGGGGTTTGCTTAAAGGATCATGGGACTTAGTAACTAGGGTTATAAATGGGGTCACTATACTTATAATGAACTACTTATAACCCCCAATTAGGGCACTTATAACCTTACTTACTAAGTCCCATGATCCTCCAAGTAGGGTTTGGGCACCTCACTAGCTAGAGCGCAGCCTTTCGAGGGCAGCGGCTGCAGGTAACACAAGCGACACTGGAGGCAATCAGCAGCATCTTTTAAACATTTCCTACAGATCCAGTGTTCCGTTTCGAATTCGCAGAGTTGATGACTTGATTTTGTGGCCTATACCAGCCCTAGGGCTCCAGCTAACTAAAACTGGGGTTACTAACCATATATATATATATAATAAAATATTATAGATATATATAGATATATTCTATACCCAGCTATATTTAGGTAAATGGAGCCCTATTGAAGCAGAACGAAGCAGCATCCTTCGGCGCCTCCTCGGCAGAGCCGGCACGCGCCAGGCGCGCGGTGAGGCTCCGTGCGCTCTCGCGGGCGCCCATGTGGCCATGATGCACACCGGGCGTAACCGGATAAATGTGTTTGGGCTTTAGGGCTCACGGGGTTTACAGGCATTGTAGAGAGCTCTTCTCGGGCTTAAAAGACTGTTGGCTTCTGAGGGCTGTAGGCTGACGGCTGACAGTGCTTCAATGCTGAGAGTTCCTAA